AGATAAAAGTCATTTAGGAGGGAGGCTATACCATCATTGCACCTCTAAAAGCAGCTTATCTGAGAGCTCCTATGGTTTTAAGGATGTATATACTTTGCCTTTAATGTATTTAATTGTAGTTTGTCCTACTTTAAAAGTTAGACTACATTTACAGGATGCAGTTGCACATTGAGGCTTAGTATTTGTAGTTATATGGGAATATATCATAGGATTTAGTTCTAACACCTTTGAAGAGGACTGCACAGAAAAGCACTGAAATCTTCAACAAGCATTTTTCCACTGTTCAGCTGCATTTCACAAAAGCTCATAAAATATTAAACTCTTCTGAAAGGTGACCAACTAAATAATTTATGAAAGCAAAGTTTCAAGTCAATGCAAGTACTATTATAGCAAACGTGTATTCTGTTTTTCTTTACAGGGAAACGTTCTAGGGCTGTAGGCTATAGTGGTTTTAGAATCAGATAATAGGGTTTGAATCTCTCTTCACTTATTATGGTGACCTTGAGGAAGTTACTCTACATATCCTAAATATATAAGAGAATCTGAAATAGTGTATATCCTAAAACATTAGAAAATACATATGTATTTGGCAAAACCCTCCTTTTTATTCCCTTGGCTAAAGGTAGGGGATAAGGGACATGACCAATTACCAAATATTGTTAATTACCAAAAAAAATTAACAGTAAAAAATGCTGTATTGAGAACATGCCATCTTTGATTCACAGGGCAGTGGCAGTGTGGTGTTAGGGTAAAACACTTTTTAACTCAATATTGATGGAACTGCATGGCAGACCAAGCAGGTCTACACCAGGGGATCCCTAAAGGCAGTTTAGGGAGAGAGAACAGGGCAAATGCCAGAGTTAAACCTGTCTTTGGTTCCACTAAGAGTATAATGAAGACTGAACAGCAGTGAGACAGAAATATACTCTAAATTGCTTAGAAAATAACCATAACTGGGGCGCCTGGGTGGCGCAGTCGGTTAAGCGTCCGACTTCAGCCAGGTCACGATCTCGCGGTCCGTGAGTTCGAGCCCCGCGTCAGGCTCTGGGCTGATGGCTTGGAGCCTGGAGCCTGTTTCCGATTCTGTGTCTCCCTCTCTCTCTGCCCCTCCCCCGTTCATGCTCTGTCTCTCTCTGTCCCAAAAATAAATAAACGTTGAAAAAAAAAATTAAAAAAAAAAAAAAAGAAAAGAACCATAACATACCTAGACATTTCTCTTGTATTACTGTTAAACTTAGTCCTCTGTCTCAACCTGCCCTGCTTCCCACCCCTTTTCCCAGACTGAGTCAGTACTACCCCATCCCTAGGTTGGCTTCCTGCCTCACTGGAGCCCGATTATCCCACAGTTGTTTCATCTTTTGTGACTGTGCCGACATAGTTGTTAATTCATAGGATATCAAAATGATTTCCAAGTCAGTGAGAAACAAGTACAAACACTGGAAAATGTATTCTCACCATTTAATTTACATAGAAATATATGAAATTGAGATAAACAAGGGAATAGGGCAAAACTGTTAAAACACAGAGGATTTTACAAAGTATAACTTACGTTTGTATCTTGTCACTGTCTTAATTATAATATGTGTAATGTAAATTCTGTGGGTAATGCCTTCATAGAGTTACATTTTTATAAACTTTTTATCGAAGTGTAACACACATACAGTACAGTGGGATTTGCATTTTTAAGGTCATTAGTGTCATATAGCCATGACTGCCTTATTAAATTGTTGTGACCCTTTAAAACACCTCTTAAAAACTGTGGATTTATGTGATAGAACATCCTCAGCTTCAAAGTGGCATTAAGTTCAGTTGTGCAATGCAGCATTAGACTTAGTTCTGAGTAATGTGTAGAACAATGTGTAGTATTTGATATTGGCCAATGTATTTATAATTCCTGAACTCAACAAATTGACAAGTTGAATTAAAGACGAAGTTCAACCTAGACCTTCAAGGTTATATTTCTGTATTCATTTTTACACATATATGCAATTTACAGTACTCTTAACAACTCTGTTAACTTACAAAGAATAAAAAGGTTTTGCAGCCAAGAGTTGGAATGGAAACAATTTCTGAGATAGAGATCAAATTGTGTTTATAGACACCATTATTGGCAGATTTACTGTCAGTCATTTCCTGTGGGAATATTTCACTGGGACATAATTTTATGTCTTGATTATTCATTAAATAGCCTTTACTCCATGGAACAGAAATACCTAGAATTATAAATAGTAATGCATGCAAATTATAGTTTAACATTTCACACTATTTTACTAGATGAGGATTAAGATTATTTAATAAACGATTTCTTATTTATCATTGAAATAATTTTAAAATGACACTAATACAATATGGACTAGTGGAGAGAGGCAACAGACTGGAAATGGAAGCCGTTTGTTTCCTCTAAACTAAAACTGACATTAATTTAAAAATATTTATCACATACATATATAAGATGCTATACTTCTACTCTGTGGAGAATACCATAGCCCATTATAAATAGTCTCTGCCCTTAAGGAGCTTATGAATTTTCTCGTACCAGAGATAAGGCATGCTTTGTAGAAAACAAAACCCAACAAATATACTATGAGTGGGTATGACTAAAGTACTCTTGGAGTTGGGAAGGATGAGAGGTCATGTCTCTCTGGAATATCAGAGATGACTTCAGAGAGAAAACAGTTGAGTGGAGTCTTAAAAAGATGGATAAGATTTCTGCAAATAGACATGCAAGTAAAATTATTCCAGGAGGCAGAGACTAGGTACTAAAGAAGGTGGTATATATATCAAACCACATTTCGAGACTGAAGACTTTGGTGGGGAAAGAAAAACTTACATAAACATAGTTGGAAATGGGGTTAGAACTATTTCTTCTTTTTTTAAAGCAATCTCTATGCTCAACGTGGGGCGTGGGGCTCCAACCCACCACACTGAGAGTTCCATGCTCTATGGACTGAGCCAGCCAGGTGCCCCAGGACTAAATGCTATTATTTAGCTATTCAAGCATTCATTTATTCAACAAACATTTCTTGAGTTCTTATTATGTGCAGGTACTGTGCCGGGAGTTAGGAGTACACTCATGAGCTGCTCAGACAAAGGCCCTTTCTAATATGTAAACACTAAAAAATGTAACTGAAATCAGGGGTGATAGCAACCCTGATTCTTCCCGATCAGGGATAGGTCCATTCATCTGTGGCAACTCAAGGTACTCGGAGTTAACACAGAATACAGGATTTAATGTTTTTGAGAGGGAATTGGTATTTCCAAATAAAGTTGTTTCCCAATTTCAACCCAATCGTTTCTCAACCAAGTTTAATTAAAATGCAGCGTTAGCAGGGTGATGGGGGGGGCACTATTTTTGGTTGATAATCAGAATTGTGTTAGCATGCATTCATTAAAAAAAGAAAAATAGGGACACACGTGTGGCGATATTTTGGACAAAAGGATTCTTCTTAACTGAATTTCGCTGCAAATTTCCTTTAAATAGCTAGCTCCCGGGGTCATTAAAATGATTTGGAACGTTTCTAGAACACATTACACTAAGTGAGATACACCTGTACTCACACGGGGTCCGTCAAACCCATCCTTGTTTTCTCTCAAGCTAGAACTTGCTGTAATAGACACGTCTCGTGCACTGGTGGCAATGGGGACGGAGGGTGGTGAAGGCGACGGGGTGGCAGCTAGGAGAGCACTTTCCCTTTCTCCAAAACTTTGCAGGCTTCCAGCCTAGACTCACCTGCCTGCTCGTTCTTTTTCTGCCTCACCTCTCACTGTTACCCCCCTTCCCCAACGCTCCGACCGTAGCGCGCTCCGTGCGCTTCCCCTTGCCTCCCCGCGTCTACTTTAGCTCACTCTCGCGGGCCTCCCTGCCCTGCCCTCCGCCCCGCCGCACGCCGAGCGCCGCGCGCCCACCCAGGGAACGCAGCGCAGCCGCCCGCAGACTGCGCGTCCCGTCGCGGCCCGAGGCTCCGGGGCATGCGCTCTGCGGCGCCGCCGCC